AGGTACACCTACTTGTATCTACGCTCACTGTCCATTTTATCAGCTCCACTTACCAGTTAGGTGCACTTTGTAGGTCTACAATAACAGATTGTGGTACTATTTAGGTGGTGGTCCATCTGTTCTTTGCAATTTGTTAGCCCATTTTCACCCTGTATATCAATATATGGTCATAGTGGTGGCATCCTGTGGCCAGATCCTGACCATCGATGAAAGACGAGAGGACGACCAACACGAACTGTGCAGCAACAGATGAAGTATTGTCTCTAACTGTACCTCCACATGGTGGTTTAACGTGGTAGGTGTGTCTAGTAGAGTGGACAGTGAGTAGACAGAGTGTTTGAAAACTCCAGCAGCACTGCTGTGTCTGATCCACTCGCACCAGCACAACACACACCAACACACCACCACATCAGTGTCACTGCAGTGCTGAGAATGATCCACCACCCAAATAGTACCACAATCTGTAATTGTAGAACTACAAAATGCACCTATATGGTACGTGGAGCTGAAAAAATATACAAAGACTGAAGATACAAGATAAGTGTACCTAATAAAGGGGTGTATATTAGTTCAGGAGTGATACGGATTTGAAAATTACACAGAGTGATATCATTTTCACGTCTTTATTCTGCGAGGAATTTGTATCCTTTCTAAATGAGAGACTTCCTTAATCACACAACGCAATCTTATGACTTTTACTGACTGACTGACTGAGAGTATGCTGTCCGCTTTCACTTCTCTGTTTCTGGACACTGAACGGTATCAGTACACTTCAGTTCATTATTACTTCTCTCTCTTTCTCTCTCTCTCTTGCTCGCTCTATCACTCTCTTAACTCTCTCTCTTTCTGTCTTATTTCTTGTCTCTCTCTTTTCTCCCTCGTTCATGCACAGACATACTCACACATACATTCATACGTACATATACAACCCCCCTCTCTCCCCCCTCTCTCTCTCCTGTCTCCTCCCCCCTTTCTCCTTCTCTCTCCTTTAGAGTAATGAGTGCAGTCGGGGACATGTCAGCGAATGTTGAGCCCAAAGGCTATGTGCAGACGTCTTCCTCATAAAGAGAAGCCCACGCACAAGCTTATCCCATGACCCATTTCCAACAATGCCTTTCTGAAAAGACACACACGCTCAGGCCACAGGCAACAGCAGAATGGGGGGCAACACGAGAGCAGAGAAGCTTCGTCTGTTTGTTAAAGGAGGGGAGTGAGGCAACTCTGCTGACTTAATATACAAGTCAGATAACATGTACTGGCAGAACGTGATGATTAACGTTTAGAGTACAAAAAGTACAAAAGTGATGCCATTTGCTATTTATATACAGTGAATATAAATTTGTTACAATGATGTAGTGAATTTCACTGATCAACATTTGTTTCCACAGAGCTTCAGCTTGAAGTTTTGAAAATTAATTTTAACTGAAAGAACCAAACAGCAACACTGCCACTTTGAATACATCGACTACAGCCAGATTGGGACTTTACAGTTGAAATGGCATTTATAATAGAGCTTGAAACATTTGTCGGAAGTCGAGGGGAACATGAGTGCTGAAGTTTTGCTTTTGGGTTCTTTTATCCTGCCTCCACATTTTTTTCACCCCATAGTTCCCCTTGCTTTAGTTTTTCTCCATACTGTATTTCCTCCCTGCTGCCATTACTTTAAAACATTAATCTGACATGCTGGAGTCACTTATGTGAGTCACTTCTGACTTATGTTGTCAGAATTTGTGATAAAATTAATGTGTGGGGAAATAAAAATCTCCCTATATCAGCACTGCACAGATGAAAACAATGCATTATGGAAAGTTTACCCATACCAAAAATGTTTGGGATATTATTCAAAACATTGCATGATAAATAAATTATTCAGGCAAGACTTAAACTTAATTTCAGACAGCTTATTATTTTATCAATTTATTTTATTTTATCTAATAACATTATTGTTACTACATGGTAATGTAACCAGCGCTATGATTGGAAAGATCAAGTTTTATTCAGCATGTTGGCTGATGGGCATCAGCTCCAGACAGGATTTTCACATTTTGTTATGATTTGATTTGATTCTGTTCTATTACTTTTATGTGATTCAGATCTTTTTTACAGAATAACTTTTCTCAGAGAATATAACCATTTTATTATATTTGATTCTAGCTTTTTAACATTGATGCAGCCACTTTCAGATCAGTGGTTTATAATGCTAATACATACACTGTCACACGACAACCTCAGACATTAAGTGGACCTAGACATGTCCACTGTCTAGTCTACAGATTGGCTAATTGTGTCACTAACATGGCCTACTTACATTCACAACCCCCTGCTGCATTCTGGCAAAAAAAGAGCATTTCACACCCTTGTCCTTCAGAATCCAGCTCCATGTGGACTTCAGCTGCTGATGATGGTTCAACTTCAGGTTCTCTCTGAATTATTTAAAGCAGATTTTTTTATGTTGTGTTAGGCTTGACCATCTACACTAGGGAACGCTCTGTGTTAATCTCTGACAACATGAGTGAAAAGTACACGGAAAGAGCCGATGGCAAGGTTTCTGTACAGCTAGGATGAAAGCCTTTACCATCTGCCATGAGGCACTGCATGAAACCAGCTCTGGGATTCGGTCTCCTTACCTGACTGTGTGCATATGTGTGTGTGTGTGTATGTGTGTGCGGTGGTGGTCTTGTTTCCAGATTTTGCACTCATTAGAAATCCCCCTGACTGTCTGACTGACACAGGAGCGGTGCAGGAGGTTTATTAATCTCCATAGGATGCAGTGTTGACTCTAACTTTTCCCAGTGGAAAGCAGTGTGCTCATGACCTAATGCTGGTCCAGCCCATACTGCATTACTGAAGCATGGTGGGAGATCATTCCACAGAGATGAAACATTCTGTTTCTGCTCAGTATGAAAGCCTTTTCATTACTGAGGAATTAAGCATATTACTGTGCTGCTTCATTATACAGTATATTACTGACTTATGTGACACAAACAGCACATATATTAAAAGAATAATCAAATTTACATTGTTTTCTCATCACCCCAAATGTAGTAGATCGTCCAAGACTTTTGCTGTGAGAAATTTTCTTCTTTAGTTTTACGCTGGAGCTGTGAGGCAGTGTAGCTAGCAGGTAATGGAAGCTTATAGCCTACCCTGGCTGTTAGCACTGGCCTACCGCATGGCTAAATATAATACAATAGAATTGCCATGTTGAGTTGTTAAGTAACCTGAAATAAACTTGCTTGTGTGGTTTCTGGCACTGTATGACAAACAGTTATCTATACAAAAGAGTTGTGGACAATATCCGGACTACAAGATACCTGCTAGTACTGTTTTTAGCATGTCTTATTTATGTCATATTTGAGATTTATTATTGACTTTTCAAAATTTCCAAAAAAAAAAAAAGAAAAGAAATATTGTTAATATATAAACAAGGTCAGTGTGGTTTAATATGAAATGCACCATTCAAGTCTAAATTGTTCATAATGGTGGTGATAAGAACCAGAAATCTAATGCCTCTAAAAGCCACCTCAGTTACCTCACACCTCAGTTACATTACAAATGATTATGGATATGGTGCCTAATGTCTGAGACAGATCTAGTGTCTGTTTCATCATAGTTTTGAAATAAGGTTTTGGATTAAACTGTATTTTATAAAATGCATTCATGGTGGAGAGGTACATGCAGGTTGTTATAAGGGAAAATAATACCCAAAGAAAATGTATTCACATATAAATACTCAGTAGATGCATGTAGGTTTTATTTGCTTATTGACAGAAAATAAAATGGCTATACTTGTGCTTTAGACATCGTGACCCTTGGTTCCTACCAGCACCACTGAAATAAAATCTGAGTCACCAAGTCACCTGAGTCATTCAATGATCTATTTCACATCACACCACCTTGAATGACTTTGTTTACCTCTCAACAACTGGATTATGCAGCAGATTAGACAAATTGACGGAGTTCCCCTTTAACAACTCAACATGTTTTTTTGTGGCAGGGATGTGATGTTTTACGCATGCATTTTGCAGACTGATAACTGGTGTGATATGAGCCTTGTTAACCACATAAAACCACTGCACAGCTGAAGACGCATGCTTTGAACACCAAAGATGTCTCGGAGATTGACTACAGTTATGGGAAAAATTGTTTGTGTGATTTTTTGCCAAATTGTTGGTTTAAGCTGAGAGCTGAATTCCAAAAGCCTTAGAGCACAAAACGCTCACTCTTGTTGCACATTTGCTCTGCTTATCTGTGGCTGATGAGAGCTGTGTCATGACTGAGAGAAGACTCTCTTAGCTTCCTGAGGATGTGACTACGTCCAGGGTAGAGTCTTCTCCATGAGATACTGATCAGCGCGCACACACACGCACACACACACACACACATACACACTCTTACAACACTAAACCTCAGCACATGTTCACCTCAAGCCATTTCTCTACTCCTCCGTACTCTGACTTTAAGGCATCAGTCCATTGCTAAACGTGTCAAATCCTACTATATGCTTATGGATAACACTTAGCACAGGACAGGGAAATCGTTCGTAGAATAAGCAGCTTAGCTCTATGCTTTCACACGCTTTTTAAAATCAGATAATAGAGTCATCAAATCAAAATAAGAGGCAAGATTCATTCATGTAGACACGTTCAATCTAGATAAACTCACTTATTGCTTTCAGTGACAATGGTGTACACCCAGCAGGACTGGAACAGTATATTCAGACCCACTAGAGAGTGAACTCGCCCTTGAAAGGGTAAATCGGGGCAAAAGAGCAGCAGTTTCAAAGGCTACATTTTAAATGAATGACTTGTATGCCACCTAGTGTCGTGTCGTAGTATTGCATTTTTTCCTTCACCTGGTAGCACAGAGTTAAAAAAAAAAATGTTTTGTTGTAGCCCATTACAAGATATTTAATCTGTATGCCTGTTGACCTTCTTATTAATGCATATACATTATTACCGTTTTAACCTAAAACTCTCTCTCTTTCTCTCCCTCTGCAGTCACAATGATCCCTGTTCTGTTTTTGGCAGCAACCATATTACCAAATGTCAGCAGCACAAACAGCACAAGTGGTAAGTTTCATAAAGGACCTGGAACTATTTGCACATACTAAACAGTTTCTATTGATATCAGTAGTTCTTCTTTTTTTTAGCTATAGTATTTGAATGACTGTACCTTATTGATGTTTCTAGTAGGCTAATATAACTTCGAGCACATTGTTTTATATCACTTTACTGGATGGCATTGCCATATGGCAATAATGATTTTTTTGTATGCCTGACTACAATATATACATAATTTTTCTCTTACATTGAGAAACTAAAGGCTAAAGCTCTGAGTAACAGGGTATACATTTACCTGATCACATGCCATCCTGTTGTATTCCACATTCTGTACAACTTTTTCATACACACATCACAAAGCCCTTTCAAAGTGTTTATAATTCAATATTAATGAATACCAACTTCAAGAAAAAAATAAACCACAATCTCTAGGAGGTAAACATTTTGCTTCTTAAAAAAACAATTCAAATTTTCTGCATTCTATCCAAATCGTTTCAATGTAGTTGTTGCTATATGGCAACAGCATGCAACAATGGAACCGCAATCTGCATTGCACACAATAGGAGTAAATTCTGTTGGACATACTGGACACTGACACTTCCACATCAGTTTTTACATTCCAAGTTGATGGTTTACTCAATATAATTTTCATATCCGTACCACAGCAGAGTATTGATTTGCTCTCATTGTATGCAGACTGTAGTTCCACTGTTATATTATATATATATATAAAATACTTAAAAGGTTTTGGCAACACTTTATAACAGCAGGCCCTAATAAACAGCAGTTTAATCATGAATCTAATATTTTGCTGATTGCTAATAATTATATTAAAGTTAGATATGTATTAATAATTGTTACCTTATGAATTATTAACTTAATGAAATAGAATAATCAAGATTTATATTGAATTGGAGAAGTGAATCATTACTTATAGTTTGTTACTAAGGATTAAGTCATTTGATACTCATAAATTACAAAAAAAAAATATTGTTCACAGGGTTTACTTAGTTGCACTAAAACAATTCATAATAATTATGAATCAAATGTGTATATTCTATTTTAAATAATTAAGTTGTTTTGTACTATCGTGCTACTTTGTGATCCAAGAACTTTTTTCAGTGCTTAGTTAATCATTGTTATTGGTAAGTATATGCTTTTTGAAGCATTCATAATTAATTGAAACCTTATTATAAAGTGACTTTATAATGTGGTTATGAAGATATATTGTATTATGTCTCTCATGTATGTATATATATATATATATATATATATATATATATATATATATATATATCACATCATAACACTTGCATACTTGTGTATTTACAGACAGCTTATGCATGTGCTTTGTACTTTAACTCATGTAAAACTATGTAGAACTGACATAAACTTCTAAACCTGTCCTTCCTTCTAAGTTCCATTACTTGGGAATGGTGCTTCATAATGTTGTTATAATAGGAACAAATATCCATCACTTCAGGATAAGGTCCTTAAGGTCAACGCAGTGTCATTTACTTCATATAACATCTTATGTAGTCTTGTGGTTACTGACATAAGCTGGTCCTAAATATTCAAATATTGCTTCATAAATATATTATTCAGTTCTTATGCATGTGTTATGCAGTGCCTGTGCAGGTAGCCTTCAAATAAAGTGGTACTGATAAGTTTCTGTCTGGTTATGTTCCAGCAGTGACTGAAGAAAGTGGGTCATTTTTGTGGGTTTACGTAATATTATTTATTTTGTACATCATTTGAAAAAGCCATCTCTCTCTTTACATTTCACGTTTTATGATTAATGAATTATTAGAAAAAAAGTCCAAAATAACAAAATGACTTGTCTCTTACAATTGCAATGCAATGTCAGTTAATTCATAGAACATCTTATGTCATCTTGCAGTTACTAGCAAAAGCTGGTCATAAATACTCAAATATTGTTGTTATTCAGTGCTCATATATGTGTTATATAGCCTTCAAATAAAGTGTTACCATTTTTTTCTAAGTCGCTGAGTAAATGGTAAATAATTCAAAAGATATAATTCAAAATTAATATCATCATTGGCAAACTGTTAGGTAATGATAAAGTTTCTATTAATAGGGGTCTGTTTTACCAGTTTGTGCAGAAAAAGGATATTACATCTATATTTTCCAGTCCTCATCCAGGAGTAACCCTTTACTGCACATTCTAGTGGTTTCCCTTGTCCTAGCATACCTTATTCAACTTTTCAGCTTATTAATAAACTGTTCAAGAGGTTAAAATGGATGTATCAGAGAAAACTAACATATGCAATGCCAGGGGACTCCAGGAGTAGCACTGCTAAACACTTCATTATACTGTTCTCATGCTTTAAGCAAGACTTGACGTGCTGTGACACCACTGCCCTGTAGTACAGTCATTTTACTGAAGGTGGCGCTGAGCACTCGTATTAAGCCAAGTTGGTATTTTAACAGAAGTGCCTTTTTTACCATTTTTGTAAGAACTTAACTCCGCAGTCTACATTATAAAAATAAGTGGTACACAACTTTACTTAGACTTATTGAATCTCTACCATATCTTTGCACACTGAGACACAAGAGTTTATGACCTCAAAAACTACAACAGCTGCTTATTGTTTAAAGTGAAACACTGATTCAGATATGAAATGCATGCATGCAGTGGCTTTGCATGTCTGTAATCATTTGACTGCTTTAGAATTGCTGCTTTAGGCCCGTTGTCATCGTTTAGACTTCATATAATCATTAGTTTCTCTCTAGGCAGTCATGCTGAGTCAAACATGGATTAAAATGAGCTGTTATTTCACTGTGGCTGTTGATAGTCAGGCTGTGTTATAAAACTGTTTGCTGGGTTTATTGTCACAACCTGCTGTTAGGTGGGTGACTGGGGTTTAACAGCATCGTCAAAACAGCACTGAAGTGCTTTATTAAAGGGACCATATGCTACATTTTTCTTGTAATTTTTCCCCCCTGAGGTCCACTTATGACATCTGTGTGGGTTTATGTACCAAAAATAGACATAATCCATTTTTTATGTGAACACTTTCCAATCTCTCTTTATCCCTGAGAATTTAAGGGGAATTCCACCATTTTTTCTAAATTTTGCCGTAATTTTATAGTTGAGATGTAAACAAAGTCATTCGGAGTGGTTTTATGTGAAATGTTCCATTTTAGAGAAAATAATCAAGTCAGAATTGTTCACAGTGGTGGTGATAGTAACTGGCCACCAGAAGAGATTCAACAAAAGTTCTCTCACAGAAGGTTATTACATGAACTAATTGTTTTATGATAGTTTTGTGATATTGTTTTGACTTTAATCATTTTTTTTGAAAATCAAATCCCTAAAGAAATCTTATTTTTTCAGATTTACCACTGTTACCATCATCAACATATAAAAACTCAGAAGACATATTTTCTTTAGGTACTATTTGCCTTACAATGCCCAGCGTGTACCTCTCTTCCATTAATGAATTAAAAAATAGATTTTAGGCCAAAAGCTTTTAATAAAATTATCAATTTGAAAACTGTCAAAAAATGTGGTAAACACTTCAGATGTCTGGTTCCTCTCATCATCACCGTGAACAATTTTGACTCCCTAAATTTCTCTAGAATGGAGCATTTCAAATAAACCACTCTGAAAGATTTTTATATTTCAATGATTAAATGATTAATTTAGCAGAAAATTTTTCCCTTTAATTTCCCTTTAAACAGGCTGCTTTTATTACAGTGTCTTTAGTAATGATATTCTGACTGGCTGCTCTGCATTGTGTCTCACTTAAATAGCAGTCCAAGTAGAAGCTCTCTTTATAGCATGGTGAATGGGTGTGTATATATATATATATATATATATATATATATATATATATATATAGTGAATGGTACATTTTGAAGGTTTAACAATGCTCACATACTACATTCAAAACAGTAAGGAACATTTAGTTGTCATTAATACGGGCCCTTTAAGTCAAGCATGATGGCTTAGATTGACTGTATTAGTACAGTAGCAGCTCACCCAGCAGCTCCACTCTGCCTCCTGTGGCTCTGTTACAGGGCCAGTTTCCTGTTCTTTTGTTTTGCGGTGGTTTAACTGCCTCTCCTTCTTCCTTTAGAAGACAGCGGGTTCGCCAGCCATCACATCCTGCCTACACTGTTAGTGCTCTCACTGTTAGTGCTCATCGCAGCTCTACTGGCCTGCTATTGCCTCAGGTATGACACATAAGTGCAGACACCCACACATTCACCCACCCATATACCCACACACACACACACACATACCTCCACCCACCCACACACAAACACCCTCATGCTCACATATTAAGTGTTACGTCAGCTCCAGACACTCCTCCCACTTCACAAAGGCAGGGCCAGGAACTGAAACTGACACATGACACAAAGCTAAAACTGAAAGCAGAGGCTGAAGTAGGCTCAGAGCTGCATGGTCCTCTGGCTTAAGAGTGTGTCGTCTTGAGTGTAAGTGGCCAGACGTAGCCTCTGATGAGAAAGAACAGCCTTAGTTTTCGATGGTAAGAACTTACTCACTTTATAAGCTCTAATTAGTTCATTCAAGAACCGGATGTTTCTTCTTATTAGCAGAGTTGGAGGATCAAAGTCCTGTGACTTTCCTTTTTGTATCCATCTGACTTTCTCTGCCGGGATCACTGTTATCTGTCTAGGTTCAAAAACCAGAGAAAAGCCGACATCACCACAGTCGACAAGAAGATACCAAATGGCATTCTGGAAGAGCAAGGTACAGTGAGCTGTCTTCTTAACATGTCTGCTCTCTAAAGTCTGTGTAAATGGCCTCGGCTGAAGGTGATGTGTATATGGTTTCCGTGGTTTATTCGCACTGAGAACAGGATGCAGTATGCTAACATCCTCCTGTCTGATGTACAGTGAGCTCTAAATAACAATGAAATCATTCATTCTTGATTAGTTTGCCCAGTATTTCCATGCCTGAGCATTGTTTGCTGAGAATGATGAAAATTACAGTAAAATCCTTAAATGATGCATGACAACGACTGTTTAAGCATAAATTTGACCCAGAGTTGTTCAGACCTATTTTCATATTTGGCCTAAGTTTCTTTCTTTTGTTTTGTTTTGCAACTCTAGCATCTCTGGTACTATCCTTACCATCCTCCCCATCCCTATTCTATTAAATGTTACATTATCATATATAATTTTCATGGTGAAACAGTGATGCGTAACACTTTTTGGTGGTTGACTGACTGAGTGAAAAACAACACAACAAAAAGAGACATTTCTCTGGACAGATGCTCCATCTCTGTTCAAGTACTGACCTTTAGATGCCATACAGTGGTAATAGTAGCTTTCTGGTTTGTCAGAGAATGAACTAGGCATACATAAACACTGTATGTCACCTGACAGTTGCATGTTCTCCTTCTGAGAAATTAAAGTTCTCAGCAGCGTTTGAGAACTGGTTGGTATAGTATCTGTGTTAGCTATTTGTGTCCACCTTGTTTGCGGTCAGACAATGAACCCGAACTTCGGGGCCTTATTTCCACTGTTATGGTCTTATGAATCTTATCAAATGTGTTGTGTAATAAGGTTCTCCATATTCTACTGGCAGTCTCTCTTAGAAGCTGTTACTTAGTTCGCACCACGAACACCACACACCCAACCATGCGAAAGAACCTGAATGCTTTATAGGTGTTACTTTGCATTAATCAGTTTATTAATCAGTTGCATTAATCTGATCATTTTATTAATTGATAAAATGACTGGATTCTCAAATGGTTTAATTGTTATTATTAATAATATGTTATTTATTAATGTTGTTATTAATTATTAATTATGTGCATTCATTTTAAGGAGTGTGTGATTGTTTACTAGCATTAAAACTAAAGCTTGCCTATTTTAAATTACTCACACTGGTTATTTTAGTCCATATGACAGAACATTAAACCACTTTAGACCCCAAAAAAATTATAGAACACTGTCCAAAACAAAGCATTTGATTTGGTAATTATAAGTTGAATTCACTTAAAAATTGTGTGCCACATCTTTAACATGAACACAAAACCAAGAGATAGAAATTAAAACAGGCCAGGACTGAAAGGGAAAATGTCTTCAATCTGAAAAAAAAACACATATCAACAAGAATACCAAATTCTAGAATTAATGAATAGGGATATTGAATGGACTGACTACAAAAATTATGCTCAAGTTATTGATGGATGTGATATAAGACTGTAAAAAACATACAGCTTATGTGAGCTAAGTCAGATAAATCCCCCCTACATTTTTCTTCTTTGAAAGACTGAAGTTACTGAAAGATATTATATTATAAACAATTCTGAACAATTAGAAATAGCCAAATACAAATTCATCAGTTTGTCTGTAGTTTTGTTCTGACTTCTGAATGACATATAAATGTAGATGCCGAGTTCAGTCACTCGTTTAAGCCCTGCATATCTGTGAGACAGAGACAAACAGAGAAAGCTAATCAGTTTAGCCAATTCCTGTAAGATATGAACTGCTGTAGGTCTATAGGAATTTGGTATAAAACATAAAAAACTTTGAATGAGATTTATATTTACTGACTGAAGTTACTGCATGTGTGATTGATCTTGAACTTGGACCATTAAGTTAGCAATGGAGTATGAACTTGGCGGTCCATTCAGTAAAGCAGCAAATGTGACTATGAACACACCACTAAACAGAGTTTTGTCATGATTTATGTCCTGAACTCGTCATTGCTGCTATGTTGGTTAGCAGAAATATTGACTTCTGATCAGGCTCATCTGTCTCCATATCCGACATAACGCTACAGCACATTTGAATACTCTTTCTGCCTCTTTGTGACATCCATGGTGAAAAAAAGGGATGTATAAACATAAAAGATTTATTACAAATCACAAACTGAAGTTTGCAAAAACAAAATCTAAAATATAGTGTTTACAGTAGATATTCTGTTTCCTGTCACAGTTCACATCACGAAATTACGGCGTATCAAGGCTGTCGCGTGTCAAATGCAGATCGGTCAGCAGAGGCCTCTGTGGGGTCTTGAGGGTTAAGAGATTGATTTTGCTCTATAGTGATGGTTTAGCATGTGACAACCACTTCCCTCTTGTTCTTCTTTTTTTTAACTGGCTTTTTAGCTTTATACATTGGCACCTGAGAGGAACAATGATAATGTATTGCAGTAAATCACACTGTATGTGCTGTACCTCTGGAGGTCAGGTATTCGTGAAAGTCAGCTGAGTGAATGTGGTCTTACTGGCACCACGAGAGACTAAGTCTCTCTGAAACCTCTTTTTTTACCAGATAGGGTTTGTGGTTTGAGCTTGAACAGGAAGTGACTTTTTGGCTTTTAAGCTGACAAACATGAACTATCACAATAAAATCTCTTCTACTTCCCATGTGTGCTTTGATAGTTTTGCTGCTTTTTGCTGAGAACCTAGAGGATGAGGAAGTTTTGTGGAGAGTGGTTGGTTAGGTCAGTGTTCGGAGACGCCCAACTGTCACTAACTGGTGTCACCCTTTCTTTTTTGGAGGGGCTCACAATTCATTTTAAGTATGAGATTTCTCCTGCGGCATAAGCTAAGTCTCCTATGAGTGCCCAACCTGAATGTAATATTAGCTCTAGTTTTGAGATGCTCTTTGATTAGCCAGATCAGCTACACTTAAACTCTTCTGCTTTACATTTGGGTGTTGCAGTCTAAAAGCGCTGTAATGAGTCAGACATTATGGTGTTGTAGCCCTCATCGTTTCTCTGTGGGTTGCATTACGCAGTGTTTAGTCTCAAACAATTCCACTCACAGCCTGTGGATACATAATTTACATCTGAATTGTCCACACAAATCAGTGAATACAGTTTTCTAAGGATGCCCCACCATATTCAGCTGGCTAGTCATATGCATACTGTAACATCGGCTCAGAACGCAGAAAACATAGCCCGTATAGTTGAATGCTCTTTTATTTTGAACAGGCACCTCAACAGACAGCAAGAAATGTCCAGCCCAGCGCTAACCCCAAAATGAAACACAGGGAGGTGGCAACGCAGGAGGACATGACATCCGAGGAGGGTAGACACTTCCAACCACTAGTTACACACAAAGCCCACCCTCTTCGGACACAGTTTACACTAAGCAACGCAACTATACTAATAACAGCAGCAACAGCAGCAAAAATGAGCATCCTTCTTACCCAGGAGTGTGGCGTGCTCTGAGAGTGACTGACCCCCCCTAAGCTTCTCATGGCAGCTCAGCCTGTGGCAGATGCCACAATATAAAGGGCCCATATCCTACATTTTTCTTTCACTTCATGTTTCCCTTGAGGTGCACTTGTGACGTCTGTCAGGTTTTATGTACTAGAAACAGTCAGTAATTTTTTGAAGGACCATTTTAAACTTCTATTTATCCCTTAGATTGAAACAGGCTGTTTATTGTTACTGTGCCTTTATATGACTAATATATATAAAGACTTCTGTTCTGATTGGCTGTCCTGCATTGTGCCTCGATGACAAAGCAGCCTGGGCTGAAACACTCCTTGTAATATCAGCATGAATGGGCAGATTAAAATGCTGTAGGCTGAATGGACAAATATATATAAATATATAGTTGTTAGTGACAGTAGAAAAACAATGCCTCAAAACAGTCCATAGCCCATATTACAGAAACCTCCTGTCTCTGAAATCTTGTCTGTTTAGTCACCATGACAGCTTCAGTTAGGACGAAATTTAGGAATCTAGCTATTACATAATAACATTTTCATTATCAAGTTCATTATTTTATCCTAACTCCAGATAATAAAGGAGTACACCGGTTGTCTTAATTAGATAAAAATTCTTGAATCTTCTGTTTTAACCTTCTGTTCTTACCATTATCTGCTCTATTGAAAAGAGATTGTGATTTTAGGCAACTGTGACAGGCAGTATAGCAAGTTCACTAGCATTAGCTAGCAATAGTGATGTTACATTTATATATGTGTATTACATAAGAGATTTTTACTTGTGAAACTGTGATGTTTTCTCTAACTCTGTGGTTTAAAAAAATCCTGAACACCACAGACACATTTACGCACAGACACATACACACCAAACTGTTGCAGCAATGTTGGTGAAAAATGAGGAGACAGAGTTGGACGTGTGGCTGTTTGTCTGGAGGATCAATGATGGTGCCTGTCTAACACTGGCTGAGGTCTTGGGAAATGGAAACTGTGCAGGGGGCGCACAATTTTCTGAACTTTTCTAAACTTCCAGTTCATTGCGCTTACTTTTTTACACTTTATTTACATCTCAGTTGTGCCTGTATTGTCGGTTGCTTGGTAACAGACATAACATTGGCTATCAACTTATATAGAGTAGTTTTGGATTCCCTCAAGATATGATGCTGTAAGATAAGTTATAATGCCTAAATTCAGGTAGGATTTGCTAATGTAAGATGAATTTGCAAAAAATCTTAGATTAGGTAGATTTTCTACGTAATCTACGTTTCTGTATCAAAGTCATATTTTAGCATCTTAGTTTCTATATATAGTTTGTTTGGACTGAGGAGTGAAGGGTACACTTTAACAATGTTTACATAGTACTCCATCACTTTTATTTCACATAAAGTGAGGAAAAATATTTCCAAAGATAGGTAGCACAAAATTCACCTGATTGTCCTTTCAGTTTTGTGCATTTTTGGCCACTAGTGCAACCTAACAGCGTTGCAGGCTAGGAAATGAATTAGAGCTGTTTGACAATAAGACAGATGATACTTCCTTTCCAATGGCTTTTAGGATGGG